AAAAAACAAATGTTCATCTTTGCCTATTATGGATTCTCCACGTATTTCTATTTTCCTTATTTTCCTGGCCGCTTCTAACTCTTTTTTTTGTTTTGTTTTGTTTTTTCCCAACACTCTCGCGGAACACCTCTATCCCCGTAGTGGTGAGAAAACCCCCAGAATTGAGGCCTTCCTGTTGGACGACTCCAGTTTATTGGTGGGGAGCAGCACATGCTGGAAAGCGGGTTCATCGTCCCTTTGAGTGCAACATGAAGACCCAAAACTCCACTTCCCAACTCTCTTGAGGAATGTTATTCCCAATGATGAGTTACCCCCCCAAGATTGTATTTTTTTTCATACACTTTGGCTTTGCATGAAATTTTATACACTTTGGCTTTGCAAGACATAATAATAAGGAGGCACAACGTGCCTGGAATGAACGAACTTCGGACCCGGATTTCGACAATGTGTCAACACCCTCCACCGCTTGGCAACGACCAACATTATGATCAATGGCCACCTATCGACAACATTCTCCCTCCAAATATCAGTGAGACAATGAGATCTGATAGCACCATTGTCGTTTGTAAATGTTACGAAAGCGATGGTCTCCCTTATCAGTGCAAATTCTGCAATACAGCGGATTGACATATCGGAATTGCCTCCGCATTTTATCTCAATCACCTCCCTCTTCGCAGACAATCTCACGGTCCTCATTAAAGCCACGGCCGCCAGCACGCAGGCCTTAAAGCACCACTACACCACACATCATTTTGCGGGTGTCAGCACGAAACCCACACCACTTCGGAGGCCGCCAATTTTTTTTTGCAATGGCGCCCCACGTCACGCGGCCTCTCCGAGTTTTGCTTGTGGCGACAAAAGTTGGGGCCATGTACTTGCGGTTTAACGAACACAATCCATCTCTTCTCTATCGCAGCGGATATGGAAGTCAATTGGGGCTCTAAAACGGAAGGGTGGTGGATCCACACAACAGGGGAACCCCCCCCCAAAACGATCCTCATGTCAACTGGAAGCCAAAAGAAGAAGCCCTACGGATTCTGAGGGTAAGACTCACAACCCGCGGTCCACCTAGTGACCACATGGACTGCCTGGTCAAAACCGCAATCCAAACCACGGTTAAATGGAAATGCCTGCACACATCGCTGGTGGGAAGGGCCCTTCTATCAATAATGTTATCCTATCAACCATTTGGTACAAGACCGCATTCTAAACACTACCACCAGAACAAATATCAGTCATAAAAGAAACAATTGTTGCCTACCTCTAGAGGAATGACCACGAATGGCGGACCTGTATCAAAAGGGTGGCATATGTGACGCGCAACCTCACGCCCTGTGCTGTCTTCCGTTCGGAGTGTTAGGCGTGCGGAAAGAGGCCCAGAAAAACAGCAAGATGGGGTGTGCCAGGATTTTTGGAAATTGAGTGTGGGAACACAGATGGAACTGAAATCCCCCGTGTTGGTCCGATGAAGTAAGTCAATTGCTTTCGCGCGTCGCGGGATGCGCGCGCGGGCACGGCGCGAAAAGAGAAAAATTCAAATTCAATCCAAAAAGTATTGTCGGGCTTCCAACCG